GAAGCAGCGGAAGCGCTCGACTGTGGGATAATAAAAGCTCCGCTGCTTTCCAGCCGTGTGTCACGCTCGTTCAGCGCCTCGTTTCGCTTCAACGGCTTTCAGCCTCATCCTGCTTCATTCTACTACATTAATAAATCATTAGCTCATCCATAAACATGATTTCTCCCCGAGTCCCGTCGGATTGCGTCGGCTGTGGGGATGAAGACCACAACTCAAATGATTCCACACTCAGTCACGGCATCCTTTGTTTATTTTGAATACGTGCCCTCCAGCGGCGAAAAATTAAATATTGTGCCTTTAATTTGTATCAATTGCTGCCTAAAGCATGAGATGAAACTAAAGCTGATTATATTCATAAGCTGTCCATGGAGGATTCCTACGTGAAGGATGTTTGAAAAACAAAAGTGTAGTGTTTCATGAGAGTGATGTGTGTGTGTGTTTGTTCATAGGATGATGCTGTCAGGCTGCGGCTGGCTGAAGAGCAGATGATGGGAGACACGCTCAGTGTCTACAGGTCTGAAATCTCTCGGTGTCCTGCTGAAGCAGATCATGTGTGTGTGGTGTCTGATGTGTGTGTGTGTCTCTCTCTCAGGTGTGGAGACAGTGTGGGTGTGTGTTCAGGTGTTCTTCTGCCGCACACGGGCTTCCTCAAGGCCTTTAAGATGCTCCAGGTAACTCTCACTCTTCTTGTGTGTTTAACTGAATGTGTTTGAGCTTGAATAGCGTGACAGAGGACACTCGATCCCGCTCCTCTGTTGTTGTAGGAACAGTGTTGTTGCTGGTTTCCATAGCAGCTTCCTGTTGATGGCATTAATATCTCTTCTTCTTCCTGTTTCACGCTTTCCCTTCTCTTTCCACAGGCTGTCGTTCTCTCTTTAGGGTTGTGACACGGGACTTAGTTCAGTTTTATTTATGGAACATTTTGTTTTCAGTCCTCTATGTTTCCTCTGAGCAGTTCACAGCATTTCTGGTTTTGTTTAAATGAGAGTTCAGACTGATCTTGATGCTGATGCATTCTTACGATAATGTGATGATTAATCTTTACATCATGCCTTTGTTTATATGCCACAATAGTTTGTAAATCTTCATGCAGCTTCTTTCTGCTTAATGACATATAATATATACATATATATACACACACTGCTGTTCAAAAGTTTGGGATCAGTAGGATTTTTATGTGTTTTAAAGGAGTCTCTTCTGTTCATCATGGCTGCATTTGTTTGACCAAAAATACAGAAAAAAACTGTAATATTGAAAAATAATATTATAATTTAAAATACTGGTTTTCTATTTTAATATAATGTATTTCTGTGATGTGCAGCTGTATTTTCAGCATCATTCCTCCAGTCTTCAGTGTCACATGATCTTCAGAAATCACTATAATATGCTGATTCAATATCAATGTTGGGAACTGTTGTGCTGCTTCATTTCTTTTTTTTTTTTTTGGGACCTGTGATACTTTTTTCAGGATTATTCGATGAATAAAGTTAAAAAGAACAACGTTTATTAAAAAATATTTTTTTCTATTTTAAGTTTTCAAGTTGAAGTAATTTCATTGTTTATCTCTTTTATTATTATTTTTTAATTGTTTTTATTTTAAATTTTTTTTACTTTGATATTTTTTGTATAAGTTAACCTAAACACAGAAATTAGAAATGTTGAAATAAGTTTAGATAGATTAGAAGCCTTTCTAACATTATAAATGTCTTTCCTGTCACATTTGATCAATTTAATGCATCCTTGCTGAATAAGAAAAACACAGTAAATGTTTAATAAAAACAATAGTCTTATCATCTGTCAAAGCTCAGATTGTGTCCACGTCAAATTCAAAAATGGTGCCTCCTCATGCCTGGTTGAATGTCTCTGACATTTTCTGACTCCTAACACTTCTACACTGTGTCTGTGGCTCTCTCAGGTGTCTCCTGTAACTCTGTCCGGTTCAACAGAGCCGTCCGGTATCCTCAGGATGATCGGCGTTGCGTTTCCAGGAGAGAGCGAGCGAGAGGAATGGGAGAAAGAACAGGAGGAGGCCAGAACGAGAGACCACCGGAGAATCGGGAAGGTGAGTGCCAGCAGATCCTCCTGCAGTAGTAACCTCTGATTATAAACCGGAGAGTTCCGGTGCTTGATTCTGATTGGCTGTAAATTACTCTACAAACACACACCTTTGTTTACGTTTGTCTGTTGCTCGTCAACCGAACTGATTCTGAGGAACTACATTGTTTGGCGGAAGAATAAAAATTTGTTAAAACCCCCTTAGCTGTTATAAATTCACTGTAAACCACGGCTTCTTGGGGCTTATTGCTTTAATGACCGCTTTACTGTGCTCGCGACATACAGAGTCCAAATAGTCTCGATTCATAAACAAGAGCGTTTTCATCTTGCATGTGTACAATAGCATTTGCACGTTACAGTCATGCCGCTGTGTGTCAGTATGAGCCCGAGATGAGTGTCATAAGAGCCAGAGCAACATAAACCCGAGCACTGTTTTGTCTGTCTGTATGATATCTCCAGCTGGCTCTGATGTTGTTCTTGTCTCAGGCGCAGGAGCTCTTCTTCTTTCATGATGTCAGTCCTGGCAGCTGTTTCTTCATGCCTAAAGGAGCTCATATATACAACACGCTCACTGACTTTATAAAGGTACGAACTCGTTCCACGTCAGCACGGTTTCACCCTCACACACTGCTCGCGACATCCCTTTCCCACTTCCAGCAGTAGTGTATCGTGCTGCATTGCTTTTTGCATTTAAATATGCATTTACTCCGTCTTTAGGGCGGTTGAAGTGAGCACTCTGAAGGGTGTAGGTCATTAGTGGCCAAAGGCATACTGCACCGCTTAAACATTTGGACGTGCTTGCCTTAAATTATGTTTTTCATAATCTTAACCCCGTAAGCCTACTGTATAATATTTCATACGCAAATTTCTAAGGTTTCTAAATGATCGACATGATCAAAGCTTTGCTGTCACACGCACAATCTACTCCATGCCTTCTGTCATCTGATTCATAACTTTCTAGAAAAATCATGTTAAAATATGAGTCTCAAATCTGATCATCAGGATCTTTTGAGGAGCGTTTATTTCTTCATCTCTCAATCATCATTGGATTGCATTGCATTATATGTTTGGATCTCATCTTACTAAGACACATTATTGGAGATATAGAGAGACGACTGATATTTGGATAATTTTATGTAAGGATCTGCTGTTATGAAGATCTCACTGATTTGACAAGCTATCAGACTTTTTTTATGAGCCATAAAAGCCTGATGGAGCAAATATGAAACTCAACAGTTACTTTTTTTTCAGATTTTTAAAAAGTAGTTTGTCTAAAGCTTCAATAAAGGGATCCATAAAAAAAAATAAAATGTATTTATTTATTTTTCCCTGGCTATTAATTCATATGCCAGGTTTCACAGTGTTAAAACACAGTGTTTCTGCATGCATATTACTACAAAAATTTGAAATCGTATTATTACATATATTCTTACTCCAAACAATTATGGAGTGCACTCATTGATTCTAATGTAAGCACTTGCTCTTCCTGTCAGAGTGAGTACAGGAGGCGGGGCTTCAGCGAGGTCGTGACCCCGACGCTGTACAGCACGTCTCTGTGGGAGCGATCGGGTCACTGGGAGCACTACAGTGAGAACATGTTCACGGTGACCTGTGAGCCACACACCTTCGCTCTCAAACCCATGAACTGTCCCGCGCACTGGTCAGTACAACTCAACGCTGACAGCACAGCTTCTGTACAGCTGTACATACCAGTGACGAATTATCATTCTCTGAGAATCATCCAAATGATTCAGGAATTTGACCTAACCTCCAAACTCATATTATTGCTGTACAATATTTCAAACACACAGAGGTTATCGGTTTCATTAAAAAAATTAGCATGTTTTTGAATATGGTATGAATAGGCTTTTATTCAATTTAGTCATACACTACAATTCAACGGTTTAAGAAATGTATAATTTTATTACTTAAATCGATCAAGAGTGTCAGTAAAGACATGTATTATGTTACAAACGATTTCTAATGCAAATAAATGCTGCTCTTTTGAGCTTTCTATTCATCTGTGAATCCTGAAAAATAAAATGCATCACAGTTTCCACAGAAATATTGTGCAGCACGACTGTGTTCAACATTGATAATAATCAGAAATGTTTCTCGAGCAGCAGATCAGCATATTATACTGATTTCTGAAGATCATGTGACACTGAAGACTGGAGGAATGATGCTGAAAATACAGCTGCGCATCACAGAAATACATTACAGTTTAACAGATACTCACACAGAAAACAGCTGTTTTAAATTTTAATAATATTTCACTATTTTTACTGTGTTTTTGATCAAATAAATGCAGCCTCAGTGAGCAGAAAAGACTTCAAAAACATTAAAAAGTCTTAGCAACCCCAGACATCATGGCCCGTATTCACAAAACATCTTAAGGCTAAAAGTAGCTCATAACTCGCCAATTTAGGAGAAAATCTTAAAAATAACGGGCATGTCAGTCCTAAATTTTTGTTCTAAGAGTATTTCACAAAGCGTTTTAAACTAGCTCCTAAATCTGTGAAACGTTAGGAGTAGTGAAGAGGACTCTGAAGACCAAATCTGAACTATCCTAAAATGGCTTTTGCCAGCAATCTGCCTCCGAATATAAACATTTTAGAAACATTTGACAATAGTGAGCTTTTAAAAAGGTATCGGCTTTGGTTTGGAAGCTATCCCAACTCCCAAATTTCTTATTATACCCTTAATATATAGCTGTTCTCACGTCCAGTTTGGTTTTCTTGTATGTTTCCATGTCTTACTATCAGCCATGATTATTCTACTCTGCTAATTAAAAGGCTGTTTATATGCATATTACCAACATTTTATTAGTCGCAGAAAAAAAAAATCCACATGAAGTGGCGAAAACATGCAGTCCGTGACGGACAAATCTTTAACGGCTGGTCTATGTGGTAATATAGTACATCAGGCAGGACATCCATATGCTCACCTAACATTCATCGACCTCAAATATGGCTTATCATCTGGGAAATGTATGTAGTAGCAACTTTACATGGCAGCTCAATCTAATGTTAGCCTAGAAAAAAGTGCGCAGTGTGGAAGCTGAACAGTAGTGCGCTTGGCCTACTGCATGACAGATGGAGGCGCCGCTGCGATCATTTGCTCTTAACATACTTTGTAATTTTTGGTCATACAGATAAGAGTAATGCATCTTTTGTGTCTGTAAAGACTCTACGTTTATTCGTGTGCACTCAGAATAACAATGAAACGTTGTGCTTTTGTAAAATAATGAAAGCAAACAGGATGCGCTTTCTGCCGTCTCGGTCTCTGTGAACTTGAGTGCGTGGGGTATGAGTGGTTATGAACGAATAAATGAAACGCATTTGTCCGTGTTTCACTCCGGTTTGAATCGCACTCGCGGAAAGCGCTTGAGAAACAGTCTCTCTTCCGCGGCTCGAGCAAGACTGTACGACATTCACATTACATGATTTGACAGATTTTTACGTAGAAAGGGGCGACGGCACACCGCATTAAAATAAATGATCATTCATGTTTTCATAAGTGCAAAATGTACTTGCTGTTTTTCCCTAACACATAATTATTATATTTGCCGGTGCGCTGTGGCAAGCCTTTTTTGCATGCGCTTGAACGCTTATTAGGCTATGTAGGCAATTAAAGGCTCGATCATTATGATTTATATGGTTTATTAATAAAAGTGCGACTAATAGTCGACTAATGCTTAGTTGAGGGCAGCCCTAATGCATATTGACTAATTGTTTATGAGAAGCATACATATAAGAGGCTGACAATTAGCTGAATATATAGCCTACTTGTTTAATTAGTGACACTTAGCCTGCATTTTAAAATCTTTAAGAGAAAACTCTTTCACTGCTATTTAGGAGAAAATGTGTTGTTAATATAGGCCCAGGACAGTGCGTGTTAGAAAGTGTGTCATTTAATTTACATGAATTTTCTCCGATCATAAGACAGATGTGACACTATTTCTTCATCCAGTGTGAACGAATCCTCGTCCTGTGTGCTCTGTGCAGTCTGATGTTCGAGCAGCGGGTGCGATCCTGGCGAGAGCTACCCATCCGCTGGGCAGATTTTGGCGCGCTGCACCGTAACGAACACTCGGGAGCTCTGGGGGGTTTAACCAGAGTCCGGCGCTTCTGCCAGGACGACGCGCACATCTTCTGCACACCTGAACAGGTACAGCTTCACAGCCTTTTATTTATTGAGTCACTCTATTGAATAGAGTCAGGGGTGCAGGACCTCTTACAAAGGACCTGTCTCTCCAGTTCCCAAGCCTGCCCAACTGTTTAGGAGATAGTTATTGCATTTAATGATTTGTTTTGCTCGACCACAGAGCAAAGAACAAACCGTTTCAGATCAAGCAGAAGCATGTCAACTGGTGTCGTATTACATAATTAATATTTGTGAGAAAAACGTTACCATTAATAGTAGTAATATGAAGCGTAGGAATATTTTAATTGGATGTGAATTAGTTCCTTGTTTGAGTTCACCGTAAGCGTCGGATGTTTAGTATTAATTGGCTTCCACACGGTTGGAGTTGATCTAGTTAGCTAAACTCAATTGCTGCAAACTGCTGTGTGAGTGTGGTGCTGTTTTCAGGAATTTCAACCATGAATGCTTCAAATCTCAAAATAAGGTCGCCAGTGTGACCCTCACTGACATAATCAAATCAAACATAGATAAACTACTGAATAAAAGCTCAGTGACAGTCGTGTGTCGTCTAATGCCATTAACAGAAACATAGTTTCTGACCCTGTTTACTCTTGGTTTCCATTTGTATTTCCAAAAGTAAAGCCTGTTCATTGTCCCTCCCTTGAGGAGCCTCACACGAGCTCTGTATTCGTCATATCAAACCGTGTTTCTGTGTCGGTGTGTGTGCAGCTCTGGCTTTGGTCTTCAGTGTGAAGTGTTCTGATGTCCGTGTTTATACTGTGTCTCATACACACCCTTCAGTTGTTTATCCGCTGCTGCTTCTTCTCTTTTCTGTCTCTTCAGCTGGAGGAGGAGATCACGGCGTGTTTGGACTTCGTGAGGGGCGTGTATCGTGTCTTCGGTTTCTCCTTCCACTGTCTGCTCTCCACGCGGCCCGTGCCCTGTCTGGGAGAGCCGGCCCTCTGGGACGCTGCAGAGCAGGTGCACCTGTCAACCACACCTGTGACGTGTTCATTTAGGGTTGTTTATAAACTATTACTTTTATATTTTCACTAATCATTTAAATTTTATTAATTAGTTTTATTAATTTTACTAACTAATTATGTTATGTGCTTTTGTCATAGTTTTTTTAGATATATATTTCTTTTTAACTTTAATTTATTTTTATTTCAGATTTAGTTTTAGTAACTTTTAACATATTTATTTCATTTAGTTGCCAAGACAATATTTTATATTGTCTATATAGCTTTATTTTATTCTCTCTATATATATATATATAGCTTTATTTCTGTTTTAGTTTAAGTAATTTAAACTTATTTCAGTTAGTTGCCAAGGCAACATTTCTGATTTTTGTTTTTAAGTTTACATTTTTCATCTAATATTTATATTGTTATTTTTATTTATTTTTTTATTTCTATTTAGCTTTAATTTATTATTTCTGTTTCAGTTTGTCTTTTTATTTATATATTAATCTTAGTTAGTTGCCAAGGTAACATTTATTATTTTTGAGTTTTAAGCTTACACTTTTCATCTAATATTTATAATTTGTCCTTTTTATTAGGTTATATTTTCAAAATATTTATATTTATCTTTAATTTAATTATATTTGAGTTTTAATTTAAATGACAAACTTATTTATTTCAGTCAGGCAACATTTCTGTTTTTTATTTTTAATTTCTGTTTAGCTTTAATGTATTTGTATTTCTGTTTTAGTTTTATTAATTTTAGTTCTTCAACTTATTTAAAGTTTTTTTTAAGTTTCATATTTTAGTATTTTTAGTTTTTATTTATATATATATATATATGTAGCCTTATTATTACATGTGTGTGTGTGTATATATATATATATAGAGCTCTATTTTTTTGTATTAATTTTTAATACTTTAACGTAAACATATTTATTTCAGTTAGTTACCAAGCCAAAATAGTTTTTACTTTTTTTCTTTTTTTTCTTTATTAAAATTGTATTTACATTTTTGAAAGCAATTTTTAAGTTGTGTTTTTAGTGAACAACAACACGTGTCGAAGCGTGTCGGAGGCTGTTTGTGTTCCTGCAGTGGTCTGGAGATTGTAAGATCTTGTCTGTACAAGTACCAGCATAGAGTATGCAGCGAGACGATAAAGCATAGATGCGGCGTAAGTGTAGGGCAGGTCCGAACAGACGGGTAACGTGTCAGAGATTCATTCATGTTGATCAGGGTCACCGTGTGGAATAAAGCGAGCGGGTCATGAGACTCAGAGGAGGGAAACAAACAGCCAATCAGAGCCGAGCATGCAGTATATAAAGCACACTACAGGAGCTCTTCACCTTGCGATAGTTCATCCAAAAATAGAAACCTGAAGAAGATATTTTGAAGAATGTTGGTGACCAAACAGCTGATGGTAGCCATTGACTTCCTTAGTATGAAAAAATATATATATTTTTGAACAATATTTGTGTGAACTATCCCTTTAATGTACAACATGCACAAGGCCTTTGCTTTATAAGAATGGATGTGGTTTCCAGGCCGGGTTGTCTGGTGTCTTTGGGTTAAACAGAGAAACAGTAATATCTCCCCTAGCGCTCTCTCCCTCAAACTAATGCTGCTTTCAGCTGTGCATGTTTTCAGATTACTGAGTTAGATGTTTACAGCAGATTCTTTTAGTAGCGTTTCCAGGGCCAAAGCCGTACATGGACACAGTCCAGGTTTTCCTCTGTAACGCCCGTCTCTCTCGTGTTTGTCCCGGAGCAGCAGTTGGAGAGCAGTCTCAAGCGGTTTGAGGAGCACTGGGAGCTGAATCCCGGAGACGGGGCGTTTTATGGACCAAAGGTGAGGCGGGCAGAAAGATGGATGTTTTCTGGTCAGACACTGCATGACAAATAAACTTTGGCAATCCACGTGACTGTTGTGAAGAAAAATGGTGAAAAACATACACTTACGATATTCACTTTCCCTTATATATTCATTATCGTTATGCATCATTTACCCATATACACAAAAATTTTAGGTCACTTTTTCTTTTTTGAGTCTCTTCTGCTTACCAAGGCTACATTTCAAATGATCAAAAATACAGTAAAATAGTGAAATATTATTATAATTTAAAACAGCTGTTTTCTGTGTGAATATGTGTTAAACTGTAATGTATTTCTGTGATGCGCAGCTGTATTTTCAGCATCATTCCTCCAGTCTTCAGTGTCACATGATCTTCAGAAATCAGTATAATATGCTGATCTGCTGCTCGAGAGACATTTCTGATTATTATCAATGCTGAAAACAGTCGTGCTGACGAATATTATTGTGGAAACTGTGTTGCATTTTATTTTTCAGGATTCACAGATGAACAGAAAGATCAAAAGAACAGTGTTTATTTGAAATAGAAATCTTTTGTAACATCGTACATCTTCACTGGTCATTTTTTAATGACAAAGCTAGTATCAGTGGCTCCTGATTTGTTAGGTGGCTAAAGGGACGTTTGCTGTTCCTCTGGTGTTTCACGTTGCTCTTTAACAATCTGTTCAGATCGACATCCAGATCCGAGACGCTCTCGGCCGACAGCACCAGTGTGCCACGATCCAGCTGGACTTCCAGCTGCCCATCAGATTCAGCCTGCAGTATACTGGGTAAGCTCTCTCCTGACCTCCTGCCTGTCAGAAACTCACATGTTTAGGATGCAATATACCCTCGGTCTGGAGAAAATATGAAAGAAATTGAAATTATATCCATAACTAATTAAGATGTTTGTCATTATTTTCATAAAAATTAAGCACATTCCCCTCATGTGCATCCTTGCATTTTACTCGGAAGGATCTAGTAATTCCTATTGTTCTCAAAGCTAATATCATTTACTGAAAATTTACAGTAATGTTTTTTTTTATCAGCTTACTATATTTTCTGAAAAATAAGTTGCACCTGAAAAATTACATTGTTTAGAGAAAAAAACACACATAAGTGGCATTGGTGTATAAGTCCCATTATTATTATTACATTCAGAAATAATGTAAAATGGCAATTAAAAAAAGAAAACATTTGCAGATATTATAAACAACGTGTGTTTCAGTTCCTCTCATTCCATAACAAAACCTTTAAATGTCACCGTTATTTCAGTATCGTTTAGATGCTACTATAGTTTTATTGATATTTTGTATTAGTTTTCATTTTAATTTCAACGTTTTTTTTATTTTGTGTTATTTTTATTAGTTACTGTTTTTAATATGTCTGTATAGTTTTTATATATTTAAAAAAAAAAAATTGTATTTGAGTTTTAGTTATTTTAGTACAAGTTAAACTAAATGAAAATTAGAAATGTTGCTTTGGTAACTAGCTAAAAATAAGTTTATGGTTGTTGGTAATTTTTATGGTTTTAGTTAAATATAATAACCCTGTTCAGAACAGATCAGGAATGAAAAACATATGTATATAAATTATAGTGGCATTCATTATAAACAGTATTTATTATAAATGGCAAGCCGAAACAAATTTATTTAAAGCGAAACTGAAACTAGAAATGTGCTGTACAAATCAACTTAGGCTCACGTCCCACTCTCGTTCAGCACCAGTACAAATGTGTGCGCTTTGTGCATGTTTGTGTGCGTGACGTTAATTGCGTTACACAAGCTGCTTTGGAATACAAGTCACAGCATGTTTTAGATGATAAAAACAACACTTCTTCTGGAAGAATACAGTAAATACTGTCTGGATGTTATATTAAATGGATCATATGATGTTGCTAAAAAGAACATTATTTTGTGTATTTGGTGTAATGAAATGTGTTTAAGGTTTAAGGTTCAAAAAACACATTATTTTCCACATACTGTACATTATTGTTTCTCCTCTATGCCCCGCCTTTCTGAAACGTGTCGATTTTTACAAAGCTCATCGGTCTGAAAAGCGAGGTGTGCTCTGATTGGCCAGCTATCCAGTGCGCTGTGATTGGCCGAATACCTCAAGCATGTGATGGAAATGTTACGCCCCTCACATACTGTTGATGCCGTGTCCCGGCCGGAGCGACGAGACAAACACATTAAAACCCATTAGGCCAAACAAAGTAGTTTCGCTTTCACAACAAAACACACGGCAGCAACAATACTACAGCGAGAATAAAAGTTACGCCTTCTTTCTTTGCGTGAACATTTGGGCGGCGTTATGCAAATCTTCCCACATAGTGATGTAGACATGTGGGGGCGTGTTAGAACGAGCCGTTTTAGGGGGGCGTGGCTGACTCTTAACTTTTATAAAGAATATCTCTTTGGATTTGAGACTTTAGTCTTTGCAACTTTACAGATCTTCTTTATGCACCAAGAGCTTGCAACACTCCAAAGAGAAAGGAATAATTGAAATCGCATCATATGACCCCTTTAATGGTTATGATGCCTATAATATGGGAGAACTGGGTGATTAAGATTTTATTTTCAGCTGTATGTCAGTGTCATGTGAGTGTGTGTGTGTGTGTGTGTGTGTGTGTGTGTGTTTCAGGGCTGATGGACAGATGTACAGGCCGATCATGATCCACCGGGCCGTGCTGGGGTCCCTGGAGAGGATGATCGCTATCCTGGCCGAAAACTTCAGAGGGAAATGGTGTGTGTGTGTTTGTGAGTTCAGTGGTTTCTGGAACTGGTGAAGTACTAATGTTTAGTCTTTCTCAGGCCTTTCTGGTTGTCGCCAGCGCAGGTGATGGTCGTGCCTGTAGGGGGCGGCAGTGAGACTTACGGACAAGAGGTCAGAGGAAACACAACACTCTGAACAAACTTAATTTATATCATTATAAACGGCTTATGGGTGTTTGATGCATTCTGCTGTGGTTTAAGGTGGTCTGCAGACTGAGGGAAGCTGGATTCATGGCTGATATTGATGATGATCGTGGAAGCACCTTAAATAAGAAAATCCGCTCGGCGCAGCTCGCACAGTACAATTATATATTCGGTAAGGATTCATTCTGATGTGTTATCATACAGAAATGCTTTCTCGTATCCCAGTTTATTTGTGCAGTTGTATGAGGTGCAAGAAGTAGCACACTTGACCTTTAAGTGTTTAATGGTTTAATTGTTCCCTGCTGGTACACATGTGAAGAATGAGTGTTCTGGGGCCTGTTAGGAATAGCTCAGATAAACCAACCTCTCCCCGTGTTTGTCATGCAGTGGTGGGAGAGAAGGAGTGTGCGAGCGGGACTGTGAGCGTGCGGACGAGAGCAGGGAAGCAGCTCGGCCAGAAATCACTGCAGGAAGTGATGTGCTCCCTGACTGAACTCAGACAGACACGCAGCAATCAGGAGGAGCTTTAAACGCTCGCGTGAGGAAGAGATACGACTCTGAACACACTGACACACACCACGGCAGAACCAGAGCCCTGCTCAGACTTCATAAGTGCTGTTATCAGCTTCATCAGATCCCTGTTGAGTTCTACAGAAACACAAACACATCCATTAATGCTGCCGCTGCATTAATAAAACAAGAAATTACTTTTAATATTCAGTCTCTCTGTTTCTCTGTCAGCGTATTTATTCATTAAAAGTCTGTGTTGTGTGGATCATTTATATTAATTAGGGAACACTAATAACTTTTATTCAATACATTTGAAAGTGCAAAAATCAGGGATTATCAAACGGGTTCGGGTTTGTGGGAAATTTCATAGAAGAAAAGTTTTTTAAAAAATGCTTTGGACTAGTACTTAGTGTGAAAGTCCAATCGAAATATGAATTATTATTAATATTTTAATAATTTATTTTAGCTTTAGTATAATGATAACATAAATGGCAATTATTTTTAATAATAATAAATATTTGAGGTCCTTGACAAAAACAAAATGTGAAAAACCATGGTATAAATCAAAGTTTAATTAATTTAAATACACAAATAAATAATAAATGGTTAAGCATTGTTAGCTGCAAGAGTTTTTTTTTTTTGTGATAAAATCATTTACTTTTAATATTCAGTCTGTTTCTTTGGTAATGTATGTATTAATTAAGATCTAGTTTGCATAGGTTATTTTTATTAATTAGGAAACATAAACAACTTTCATTAACACTCTAATAACTTTAAACGTCATTAATGCTTAACTGATCAGTAATTCATAAATGGTTTAAATCGGGTTTTCAAACTACGGTTGATGGAAAATGTCATTAGAAAAAAGTTGTCTTTCTTTGAAATGCATTGAATCAATATTTGTGAAAATGACTTTGAATTATTAATATTTTCCATTATTTCTTTTTGATTTTGTATAATAACAAATGATAATTTTTTAAATAAAAAAAATACTTATGTAGTTTGTTTTGTTTCGAATACCAGTCTTTTTCTCACAAAGTACAAATAAATCTTAAATAATGTAGCTGCATTTGTATTTTAAGAAGTCTTTTGCAAGGGGATAATATTTGATATGAAATTGAAAAACTCAAATCAAAATTGAATTTAAATTCACACAAAAAAAATCTAGTTGTGTTAGCTGCAAGAGTTTTTTTTTTTGTGATAAAATAATTTACTTTTAATATTCAGTCTCTGTTTCTTTGGTAATGTATGTATTAATTAAGATCTAGTTTGCATAGGTTATTTTTATTAATTAGGAAACATAAACAACTTTCATTAACACTCTAATAACTTTAAAAGTCATTAATGCTTAACTGATCAGTAATTCATAAATGGTTTAAATCGGGTTTTCAAACTACGGTTGATGGAAAATGTCATTAGAAAAAAGTTGTCTTTCTTTGAAATGCATTGAATCAATATTTGTGAAAATGACTTTGAATTATTAATATTTTCCATTATTTCTTTTTGATTTTGTATAATAACAAATAATTTTTTAAATAAAAAAAATACTTATGTAGTTTGTTTTGTTTCGAATACCAGTCTTTTTCTCACAAAGTACAAATAAATCTTAAATAATGTAGCTGCATTTGTATTTTAAGAAGTCTTTTGCAAGGGGATAATATTTGATATGAAATTGAAAAACTCAAATCAAAATTGAATTTAAATTCACACAAAAAAAATCTAGTTGTTTGTGCTATTAAACATTAAGCATGCTATTGTTACAATTACATTTGAATGGTTTTGGGAGAAAATGTGGGCCTGTGCAAAACTCACTGCCATGATACTAGGTCGGTTGCTAAGACAGTACTAGGCTACTCTGGGGAACGAAATCCAGAAGCAACTTCGGAGCAAGTTCCATCGCCATCAATAGAGTTCAACAGAACTTGCAACCACTGTTAGCTTACGATGCTTTTGGGAAATAGACCTCTGGTTTCAAGGTTGCCAAGGTTACAATGACAAGGCCTCACCTTCAATCAAAGCTTAATTAATAGCGTGTATTATTATTAATTCATGTTAATTCACCTTGTAACCACTACAAGGTCTCCAAACTGTTATCCATTTGTGTTCATGCATAAATAGCACCTGCTTCATCAGTTTATGAAAATAACCAATGTGCTTCAATAGAGAGCAGAGTGAGTGCTTGACTAAAATAGGAGTAATTCATAGAAGGGGGGGGTGTTGATGAAACTGGATAAAGCAGCACAGGTCAGGGACAGCCGAGACTGGTTTTTTTTGCCTTATTAGAAGAAAGGCGTCAGAATGGAGAGGACGTGACTCACATGGGCGGAGGAGGTCCTGGCCGAAGCACAGCTCACACCCCAACAAACGTATATCGGATCAACAAAGGGCACCAAAAACAAAGACTTTCCAGACGTTTTATCTGATGCAAAGAGGGTGACGTGTGTGCAGGGGGTTATGGGACTTTGGGAAGAAAAAGACGTTGAGATGTGAAGAGGGTGAGGCAGGATCATGGCCTGGTTCTGTGCTCACGGGAACTTACTGCAGCATTTAAACTTCCACTGGACCTGAGAGAAGACGTACGCTACCAAAAAGTTTGCGATCAGTTACACACCGAAGTTTAATACTTATTGTTAAGGGTTTAGTCACATCTCTAACCCTACAGTGAGTATGAGCAATAGATATGCTTAACTTGCAGTCTTGGAAAGCAAAGTCCCTTTTCTTGCATACAGTGGTTTCGTTTCTCATTTCTTCAAAATAATTTGGAGTCTGAGAGCCAAAAAAAGAAACTTGAAGTAATCTTATAAAACTACGTCATGCTAGAGATGGCATATCTTCCTCTGTCATCCCACACACAAACACTCCCCTGCACAAAGACATTCTGCATTCAGTGAGCAGCATCGCAGGAGTTCATCGGGTTATTTTAGGTGTGTTTACAGCTCTGCGTGCATGAGGCGGCACGTTTGATAGTATATAAGTATGAGCACGGGTTTGCTTATGGTATCAGTGCTGCATATACAGTAGATGCGTAAAACCCTCCAGTGAAAGAGTGGTGACACTGACATGAACGGGGAAAACGGTAGGCCTTCCTGCGTTGTTCTGAGAAAGTCTGGCTATCAGTGAGAACATGTCAAGCAGGAATGATTAAGGGACACTCTTAAAATAACCTACGGCGCTCCCTCTCCCTGGTGAAAATAAACCCGTATGGTTCACGGCCACTGGAACGAAAACAGGAGGTAATTTCCTAATTTGTCATTCATGATTCAACGTGACTTACAGTACACTAGTACACTAGTTCAGTATTCCCATCCTCCTGAAGTAACCTTATGATAAGTGCCTTGTTCAAGGCTACAGTGATCATTATTCATGGATCACACCTTGATTTGGACCTACATCCTTTTGGTTAGCAGCCCAGAGCTTTAACCTCTAGACTACACCACCCTAGAGGTCAAGATATGTAGGATGTGTTCTTGGATCAGCATCCTTGTTGGTACTTGAACAACATTCCAATCAACCAGTAAAATTTTAGGGCTTAGGGTCTTAATCAGGGGTGTCCAAGCTTGCTCCTGGAGGCTCAATGTCCGGCAGAGTTTAGCTTCAAATTACCCCCAACACACCTGCCCGGACGTCTCTAGTACTCCTGGAGACCTTGATTAGTTTCTTCAGGTGTGTTTAATTGTGATTGGTGCTAAACTCTGCTGGACACCGACCCTCAGGGAGTAGGATCCGACACCCCTGCTTAAGGTCTCAAGGTTAGGTTTATGTCTTGCTGCCACTCTTCACTTGGGTGGTCCCAGACACAGATGAACTGTTTTCATATGCATTTTGTACACAAAAATTGCAAGAGCTAACTGAAAGTGCCAGTTCCAGTCTGATTGTTGGGGATTCACGGGTGTTTATCATTTGCTCTGGAAACAATCTTATCCTGGATGCTACAGTCAGCTCTTCCGCACTTAGAGCCAGGAGGAAATATGTTTGAGCATCTTTGATTATCTGATCTGTTTTATCCCCCATGTAGCCAGTGTGGTCCACGGTGTAGCTTATTTTGACCCAAGATCTGCTCAGGAAAACTCAGAAAAAAAAGTGCAAAACAATATTGAGCTATAAAAGAAATTATAGTGTTTACTAAGACAGCTTTATCAAATTTGATGACTGAAAATCATCAAAATGGTCTTTTCAGTGTCAGAAAACATGCAGAAATTTTACCTTTATGGGTAGAACAGCTTGGGGTACAACGAGGGCAGTACCCTTAAAGGTGTGTATCAGTACCTTAAGTAGGAAGGTATTAATATGCACCTTTTAAAGGTAGATACAAAGTTGTCCATTTAAGGGTTCTACCTCCGCAACAAGCTGTTGTACCCCCTAAAGGTGCAATTTTTGCACTTTAATTTTGGCATACAGTTTAGAGCCAGGTTATCTAGTTGATACCATATGAAAATGCCAGCCTAGAAGACAAAAGAAGTGTCTTTCTGTAGCCATAAAGAAAAGTCTAAATGAGTGTAGACCTCAGAATTGTAGAAATCAGAATTTCTGTCTTGCCAAAAGTATTAAGCATTAGACATACAGCAGAATTTACTGATGTGCTTCTGGATGTCTAGCTGTAGTGGTCAGTCCTGCTCCTGCATTACTTTCTTTTCCAACTGGGCCGGTGTTCTGACAAATAATGCTACCTATCAGATTATGCTACCAACACTGTATTTATCCTACTGTAAGGGTAGGTTTAGGGTTGGGGTTGGGTGATATCACACCTTATTAATATCATGCTGGAAGCAAAATCTGATAGGTAGCACTTTTCGCAATCGAATTATGCTACAATCTGTTTTAATGGGAGGTAGCAAAATCTGACAGGGTAGCACAAATCGTCAGAACACCGGTGCACTTCTGACTCCCAGAAGATGACAGCGCATCTAGCACTTTGGTAGTTTTGTGTACAGTATGCATCAGATTGTCAGTGATTGCTTAGTTTATGTCAGATGACAAGTTCTGGTCTAAATGGGGCATTCCTTGATGCCGTAGTCCAGGAGCATACAATCCTGCTCCTGAAGTGCCACTATCCTGCAGAGTTCAGCTCCAATCCTAATTAAGAACACCTGAAATAGCTAATTAAGGTCTTGTAGAAACGTCTAGGCAGGTGTGTTGGGGTAAGTTGGAGCTAAACTCTGCAGGACATTGAGCCAAGTTTGGAC